GTTGTCCTGGAGATCCCCCAATTTAGCAGCTATGATGGGGATCCCACAGGGCAGGGCCTGCAGAGCAGGGCTTTCAGCACTCCCAGCAGCATCTCCCATCCTTTGTCAGAACGGGTCCAGAAGAGAGCCATGGAGATGACCAGAGGGCTGGAGCACCTCTTTTATAAAGAAAGGTTGAGGGAGCTGGGCTTGTTTAGCTTGGAGAAGGCTGCAGGGAGACCTAATTGTGGCATTCCAGTACTTAAAAGAAGCTTATAAACAGGAGTAAGAGTAACTTTTTACATGGGCAGATAGTTACAGGACAAGGGGAAATGGTTTTAAACTAAGAGAGGGGAGATTTAGGTGAGATATTGGGAGGATCCTTTTCACCCAGAGGGAGGTGAGGCACTGGCACGGGGTGCCCAGAGAAGCTGTGGATGCCCCATCCCTGGAGGCATTCAAGGCCAGGTTGGATGGGACCCTGGGCAGCCTGATCTAGTGGTTGGCAACCCTGTCTACAGCAGGGGGGTTGGAACTGGATGAGCTTTAAGTTCCCTTCCAACCCAAACCATTCTATGATTCTATAGATCCAGCAAGATCCAAATGGTGGAGTGGTAAATCCGAGACATTAAATGGGTCAGCTCCAGCCTTCCCAATAAGGACATTCCAAAAGGCAGGAGACCAGACTTTCTCAGGAACCACTGGTACAAACCCTTGAGGTTGATCAGACCATAAATTGCACCAGCTCCTCGCACACCGCTCTAGCATGGGGAGCCCCACTGCCAATTGCTGCAGGGGCTGAAGGACAGGAAGGAGGGGACACAGGGAGCACTGGTAGAACCAGCCCTTACGTTTTACAGAGGGATGGTCATTAATGCAAGAAAGAAGGAGCAGGGCAGGTGTCTGGTGCCAGCCATGGGCAGCGCTGAGCACGCACGGGTGGTTCAATCCTGCTTAATTCCCCTGCCAAAGCAGCAAGACCCAGACACTTCCATCTGCTTTTGGAAGAGGGAAACCAAATCATCATGGCAAGGTCATCCCCTTGCTATGAACTCTCCCCTTTCTACCCCAATCTGGGTATCATGGTCCATCTGCCCACACACACCATCTTGCACTCCAAGAAGGACCCTGGGATGGACGGAGCAGTTGGGGGACCCAAACGCTGGCAGCACAGTGCCTTCACTTGGGGTTAAAAACAAGTCTTTCTGCTCACAACAAAGGAAATATGAAAGCATGTTTCCCCACCACGAGCCATCCAATTTGCCTCCCGCAGAGAAATGCCACTCTGCAAATCTCCAGGCATTATGGGAACCAGGGTATAAAAACATTCCCGGTGCAATGACGCCAAAATTGATGCTGAAATTAGGCTGGGAAGAGAACTGGCATAGTTGCTTCCAGCCCATAAACTAAAAGATACATATATGGCCAATCACCCACAATGATATCACACTTTGTGATCGCCTGTAGACTTTTTTTTCCTGCTTCCAGCTTTGCTCCCATATCACTCCCTGCATACACCAAGGGTTTGGGCATCAGCAGCTTCAAGCAGCTGCAAATTACAGGAACCCAGCCCAGCTTCATCAGGGAACCCAGCCCAGCTTCATCAGCACCGACAGATGTTTGCAGCACAAATACCAATAGGTCTCAGCTCCCTGTTGGACACTGAAACACCAGCCACCAGCCTTGCCCCAAGGATTGGGTCCAAACCCAGCTCTGGGGCTTCCCCAAAGATGCAGGCACATCCATCACCTGGTCACATCACCACAGGGAGAGTGGATGCACAGTGCCCAGAAACCATGTCTGCTCTTACAGAGCTGCCACAGGGAGCACAGGAGGAGGAGGAGGAGAGAAGGAAGGATGCCTTCCCCCTCCCCAGGGACAGCCCTTGAGCAGAAGACTTGCTGCAGCCCATGCCCACAAGGTTTTGCTCTCTGAAACAGGTTGCACAACCACCCCAGAAATGGGATCCAAGCCCTTAGATGTCCCTTTGCCCCAAGACATTTAACACACACCCCTCTATCTCCCATCTCCTGCTCAAAAAGGGGGGGGACCAACCCCACTCCCATCACGAAGGAAACTCAACATCTCACAGCTTTCCAGGACACAAATATCATCTCCAGCTCCCCTTCCCCATGCCCAGCTGCCCAAAGGAGCCCCAGAGCAGCAGTACTCACATTGTACAGGACTGTGGTCCACCCTTCCATGGTGATGCACTGGAAGACGGTCAACACAGCAAAGAGGATGTTGTCGAACTGTGTGATCCCGTCATTGGGACCGATCCACTCCCGGCATTCATAGCCTGGGGGGCAACCCTGCACCCCGCATGGATGGGGGGGATCCAGCTCTTCTAGTTCACCTGTGAGCAGACAGCAGAATGCCAAATGAGACAGAAGTCAAGGAGAGGCAGAGGTAAGGGAAAGGCAGGGGAGAGGCAAGGGGAAGAGCCTGAACACAGATGGGCTTGGGGCAGAGCAGGGGACCCTGCTAGGATTAGCTCTAGCTGCACATAAACTGCTCCTCTAAGAAACTGGGACATCCTGAACACAACCAGGTGGTGCCTGGTAAGCACCAAGCAAAAATCTTCTCAGCCCCAGGCTTCCTACAATGGCAACAAGTGCTCATCTCAACTGCTTTCCACCCGAGGGATGCAAAGTGGGTGCAGAGCCCTTCTCCCCACCTGAATTGTTTGTGTAGCAGGCTCGGTGCAGCTTCCCGCTGTAAAACTCCAGGCCGATGATAGCAAACATGAGGATAGCAAAAAAGAGCAGCAAGCCGATCTGAAGGAGAGGCACCATGGCCTTCATGATGGATTTCAGCACAATCTGCAGGCCTGGGAGGGGAAAGAAAGAGCACAGCTCAGTGTGGTGCTGCAAACTCTCTTCTCAGGGATGTCCATCCCAACCCTGGCAGGAGGAGGACAGTGAGCAGAGAGGATGGACAGTCATCAGGCAGGTACAAGAGGCCAGCACAGCCTGGAGCATCCCTTTAGATGGGTGAGGACCATGGAGGGAAGCACCATCCCAGGGGAGCAGTGAGGGCCCAGTTGCAGAGCAAGGTGGCTCTGGTCACCACTCTAGTGTCCTGCATGTCCTTTGTGGGACATGGCCAGTGCAGCTCTGTCCCCCTCACTACCCTCAAGGCACAGATCCCAGCCAGTACCCAGGGTGGGAGGGATGGCAGGATCAGAGCCAACACCAACCTAGTTTGTTTATTTATCCCCGTGCTGGCAAATCAAATCCAGCAAAAAAACCCAAAACCTCCCCTGAATAAATCTCAGTCCTGAAAGGATCCACCCACCACCTTCTGGCCAGGGAAGCGGAGCTGCTGGCAGGCCCTGGTGAGCCCCAGCCTGGTGCCAGCACAGAGCGAGCTGGACTGGGGCAAATGCCACCCAGGGACACCAAACGCTGCCATCCTACAGCCCCCTCCCCTGCGAGCACCCCGAGGGGTGGCTGGGAGGATGGCATGTGTG